ACTAAGGTCATATTGGGATATTTTTGTTAGCTGGAATATCAATCTTCCAAAGGATGACTTTGAGTTTTGGGACACCCATACGCCATGATTTCGTTGGATTTTTTACATACTCAACTTGTCATATATCATTATTGAAAAAAGCCGAATTCCATTTGGAGAGAAAAAATGTTTATTTCAATCTCCGATTGACTGAAAAAATTCTCTTTGAAATCAGATAAAATATTCAAATTTATTTCTGATGGAGTTAGCGAATGAAAATGAGATACACGTGATCAATTAGGCGTACTCAATAATCACCGCTTCTGCATCATAATCTCATAAAATAAAAATAATGACTTGATGTACTTCCTGTTTGTTCCATTGTCGCGAATTTTTATTGCGCCTTAATGAACATGTCACCGAGAATTAAAATTGTGATTTATTGCTAACCCTTTTCCTTGCAGTCCCAAGAGATAAAAAAGACATTATACTTCTGTTTCACACTGAATGAAAAAAGCAATATCTAAAAACCACTAGAGATATATTTCATGCGAAACATTTAGAATGTCCCGGTGCAGTTTTCGAGCTACTTTAATTTTCGGTTTCTGTTATTAATGACCTTTTCTTTAGAATTTTACAGAAGATATCACGCTGAGAAGTAAAAAAAATAGTCGTAAGTTTTACCCATGCAGTGATATTCGCCAACTTAATGATTATTATACCGGGTGTTCAGTTGAAAACTTTCCATCCGAAATATCTCGTTTAGTAGACGGTTCTCGGAAAATCGCCGAGCCAGGTAAAGAATAATAATTGTAAGGGGGACATGTTTTCACTTGTAATACCAATAGAAGTCCCGGAAATTTTTTCGAGCTCATGGATATTTTGAAAATTATTCCGAATCGAAGACAAGGGATAATTTTCGAAATATTCATGAATAGTAGGCCCCATGCAGTGAGCCTTTTTTGCCGACCTGCTGCACATGTCATGTGCACATAATATTTACTATTACTACTCCTAATTCTCCTTTTCGATCCTCCGTGGATTTCTAATGAAGGTCAGCATATCCGTCCACCTTAGTAATTTGATCTTCCTGTTGAAGCGTATCAGTACGTCAGTACCAGAGATTTCGAATTTTAGCCTTCCATAACGCCTTACACTGGCCCAGGTATAGTGGTATGACAGTATGACATTCTATATAATAGATGCAGTTAGGCATCAATGGATTCTTAGCCTATTAATTGTTGATTTCTAACCAATTGAAGTAGCACAAAATCACTATTTTAGGACGTCAAAATATTATTTTGTCATTGAAACGTCATAAAGAAATTTCCGAATTCATACGCTGTTGGGTACCCACGAGAAAAAAATTCCCACTAAAATACATACGTTGCTATGGTAATTTGTCATAAAAACCCAATTTAACTGTATAAAAATCACCGGTGTGGAATTTTCACGTAAAAATCACCTTGCTCGTTTCATCCCCTCTTTGCCTCCACTGCCCCCCATCTAAAAAATTCAAATAGCATCGTAGGTTTTGTCGTGGCACCTCATTGGAAAGACTTTTCAATTTTTTAAACGCATGTGTTTTCAATTTCGAAATCGAAGAACACGTTCGACCATATCGTCCCTAAAAGGTTGTTTATTCTTATTCATTTTCTCATTTTCCCCATCTATCCAGAACTATATCTTTCTCAATTTTAGTTCAAAAATGGTCAATTGAATTTAAAAATTGTCATTTGGGTTTGAAAAAGCATCATTTGTATTTCAAATTAATCAATTTGATTCCGAAAACAATCAAATGTATTTCGTACTTATCAATTCAAATCCAAAATGCGTTAATTGTGTTCCAAATTAGTCATTTTAATTTGAAAAATTATCAATCGTATTTCAAAATTATCAAATTAGTTTCAAAAACTAACCCTTCAAATTCCAAAATAGTCATTTGTATTTCAAAAAATATCAAATGTATTTTTTAATCCATCATTTGAATTTCAAAACTGAAAAAACACAGACATAGGTTAGTGGTTTTAAGTGATATTTTCATTTCTATGATATTGGAACGCTTCTGGCTTCTGGTTCCTGGTTCCTGTCATTGTGTCATCATCAATATAGAAATGATAAGTTTTGAAATTGAAATGGAACTTTTTCGAATTAAAATGACTAATTTGAAATACAATTGACGCATTTTGAAAATGAATTGATAATTCTGAAAAACATTTGATACTTTTTGAAATTGAAATGACTAATTTGACATACAAATAATGCATTTTTAAATTGAGATGATAATTTTGAAATACTTTCGATACTTTTTGAAATTGAAATAACTGATTGGAAATACAATAGACATTTTTTGTAATTAACTTAACGCTTTTTGAACTAAAATTGAAAGAGGTGTAGTCGATTGATTTCAACGAATTTTACAGTTTAGACACGAGCGTATCGTACGTTTTCAATGACCCACGACCCACGACACCAACAAACTTAGGGGTGGACATTGAGTACAAGGTTGATACAACGAGCTAAATACTTGAACTATCCACCTAACAGATTGCCTATAACGGAGATTTTCTGAACAACTTTTCAGGGACGTAATGTAAAACGTTTTTTACGATATTTTGCAAACTCATCTTTCGATTTTGAGAATGAAAACACAGGCCTTTAGAGAATTGCTTCTTTCCAATGAGGTGTCACACAACCTACAATGGCATTTGAAATTGAAGAGTGGAAGTACCAAAGGCACTAAGTGCCATTTTCATAATTCCGAGATAATTAAGAAAACAACTTAGGTAGCAAATCTTTTTATTGTTTTTCATCATGAACATGTTGAACCGATTCTTAACATCGAGAAATAGGTACTGGTAGAAAACAAATCTAATATTTCTATCAATAACATGAAATTTCAAGGTTTGTTTCGAACCAAAACTGAAAGGGCATAAGTGCCAAATTATGATTCCTACAAAGGTAATGAATGAAAACAAACATTCCATCCTAAGTGCCTCACAACTTAAAGGTTATAAGTACCAATTGAAAGCGAGTTCAGCTGCTGCTTGGTCCCAAACTCTCTTCGCCTAAATTAAGAAGTTTTCTATAAAATATCGATCTTTATTGTAACTGCCTCACTGATATTTGAGGCTTTAGTGTAAAGAAACATATCTGCAGCTTCCTTCATATCCCAGAATCCGTTTACAGACATATCAATAACTTCGAATGACGGATCACATTTTGCGGAAGTTATTACATGATGTAAATCATTTGGCACCATTGCCTTCTTTTTTTCAATGAGAGCGAATTCTCGGTCAGAAGCCATGAAACTGTGACCACTTATTAGAAAGTTATACCCTATTGTGTCAAAAACTTCATGCAGAGCAAGGAACACTAAAACAAGCGAAATTATCTTTTTTTCCTGTTAACGTTTGCCTTCCCAGCATTCTTTTTCAATCTCTGCTGTTCAATAAACCTTCCTTTAGTCTTTTCTTGCAAAACTTCCATGTTTACACTGCAATTTATTGTCCAATACACTATAAACGTTTGAACGCAAAGCACACTTACACTATCAACCTGACTGGCACGTAGACCCTTTCAAACTAAAAACTTTCTGGACATAGTTCCTAGATCCATCTAGTCTAACTATGCCGAAGCTTACGAAATAGAATTACACTTATAACCTTCGTGGGTACATTAGCGATGGTACTTGAAACCATTTTGAGCAAATATCTACAAAGATTTTGGCACTTAGTGCCCTTGGTACTTCCACTCTTCAATTACAATCTGAACGAGAAATAGGGTGGGAAGTTTTCAAATGAACACCCGGTTCAAACCTTTCAAGAAGATGAACAATCATACTATGTCGAAGTTTTTTTATCGAAAGTATTTTATAGAAATATTGGATTAAACTTAGCAGACAAGGAGATGAATGAATAGCATGGGTGCTGTCCTAGAAACATTCTTAGGGGTTGTATGAATTTGTAATATGCAAACAATGCTCCGTAGGCGGAAGTTTTGCTACAAGGTTAATGGATACCTTTGGCCTCTCGGAATATGAATAAGTATATACAGAAACGAATTCGTCTGAGTGAACATATTTATGACTTTGAAATTGTTTATTATATTGTACTTTGTCCGATAATTCTGATTTGTCGCACTTATTTTTATATCTATTTTGATCCAAAGAACTGTTGCAGCCAAAACATGGTTTTGAAATAGAAATATGGAGATATGCCTACAATAATAAACTACCTTCATTGAATGTGAAAAGTTGTTGGTCACTCGAATATTTTCTCATATGCTGATGATTCATAGGTGCTTAGCTGCCTCACTGAAGTTGAGATTCATCTGATTGTTCAGAAAATAAAAAAGAAATTGTATGGACATTTTTCAAAACAGCCTTATCTCATGCGGACAAATAGATATATCTAAATTTCTTATCTGTAATCGACAAGTATATAGTGCAATTATTCAAAGTCATAGCTTTTTGAACTCCTATAGCAACATCGTGATGACTGTGATGTTCCATATAAGCTGACACATCGGATTAATCTGTTTTTATATCTGACTATTAATTTCATGTGAACATCATTCGATTTCATACCAAAAAGGTGCCCTTAGTAAATCTTGATATGGTGTATCTTTTTCGAAATATTTTGTGTTCCCAACAGATAATGTACGAGGGATGTTTATAAAATTCTCGGAATCATTTATCTCCGATTGAATTACGCAGAACTTGTATGAAACGTATGAAAAAATCAACAATTTCTCAGCGTCAGCCGACTCACCAAATACTTATATGATGAATAAAACAAAATTAGGAACATCCTATTTATACAGGGTGTATCTATATAACACCGAAACGGGTAATTCCTTGTGATATTTTAGGAAATAAAGTTCATATGAACCAAATGAATCAAATTGCGTTTTGAAATCCCTTGACTCGATAAATTCACAAATTATTTACAACACCAAACTCACATGACAACACACATTCCGATATATCTATCGAAACTGACAGTCCCGGTTCCTTCCAGATCTTCATGCACAAATCTGCTATGCAGATGCATGCGAGGGACCTCGCAGGCCGATCTGAAGTGAAACCCCACCAGTGCCAGCAGTGTCTGAAGTCCTTCAGCAGCAACCATCAGCTGGTGCAACACATCAGGGTACACACTGGAGAGAAGCCCTACAAATGTTCCTATTGCGATCGTCGATTCAAACAGCTGAGTCACGTTCAGCAACACACAAGACTTCATACTGGTGAGTAGTATTTCAGTACATACTTCAATGCCTTTCTGCCAGAGCATCATAAGTGACATTTCTTTAGAAAATGAGTTTTTGATATTATCATCATGAACTCTGGGCCATAAAGGAGGTTCCGCCAGAGTATTGTAAGCAGAATTCGCATAGTTTGGCTGTAATTCAACTCCGAATTATATCGTATGGAACACTTTCAATCTGTTCCCCTGAAACAACATCATCTTTTATCTGACTGTGATCTGCATGCAGACAAAGATGATGTATAGAAAGTCAAATGGTGTTATCAATTCAAAGAAGTTTCGAAATCTCTCGATATCGCCAAATTTACAGGCATTATGACAGATTCATTTGAGTCCACATTCTCATTCTCAAAATTTTTGTTTGAAAGGAAACGGTGCGTCATATTATCGACTTTCAATGGGGAATTCATGAACGACACGAAGTCCTAACTCAAGTAAATCCTGGGATGATAGTTTATTTACTCACTTTGGGTACATAAAATGAAACGAATGTTCGGATTTTCGAATAATCCTCACCATTGCAATTGCAGCAGTCAGTCCATGATGAAAGCACAATCCACTCACTCAACTAATAATATATCAATACCTGCCTTATAAACTACTAATACTCTCAATTTATAATATTTCTATTTGGAATTTGAACAAAATATTGTTTATGTCGAAAACATGATACTCGTGACACATCCTTGAAAGTCTAGTTCCTAACATTTGAAACGTATTTTGAAATTTCTCAGGAAATTGTCTATCGTTCTTGCCATCTATCATCGAATGTAAGAACCCCACGTTCCGAACTCGCATTCAATTGTTCATATCGAGAGCTAGTCTGACGAAACAATTGAAGAGTGGGCACTACAGAAAAATTATTAACATCTCACTGCAGACTATCGTACCGTCAGCATCACGTGGTACCAATCCTGTTGCTATAACCTGCGGTTCTGTGCTATACGATATTTCTGTATTTGTCGTTCGTGAATGTCGTGACATCGTAAGTTACGAAATTTTCCCAATTAATTCACGAAAATAGAGATAATTCGACTATATATTATGATGAAAATAATCATTCATTCAAAAGACACTTTATCAGATCAACGAAACTGACCACATTAGATAGATATAATTATCATATTTTCATCAAGATTGATTTTGGTGCAAATTCAATACGTGATCTCTTTCATATTATTCGTCAATGGATTCATTAAAAAAAAAGGCATTCAATCCTCAAAAATGTTAGTTAACTGTTAAAAATTCAATGCTTTTGGTGAAATTGCAAACTTGCGTTGAGTTTTAAATCAACGAATCATTCAAAAATCAATCAGTATTATTAATAACAAAGAAATTAGTTGCTATGTCGATCCAAAGTCAGTTGGCGTACCTCGAGAAAAAACATATATTTAGGTACGCAGAGCGGTTTCGCTTCTTTGGAAATTCGTTTGAAGTCCGAGCACATAACAGACATTTACAGATTGGGTTTTTTCAATTCAAAATTTTATCCACGCCCTGTATGATGAACATCAATTCATTATTCAACTGACAAATGCCCCAACTTACTTTAGATATAAGTACATAACAAATCGTTTGTTCATTGTTAAGGACTGTTTTGGGCAGGCTTGGGTAATGATATTTTGTAATATCAAATGAATATTGTTAACATTGGACTAACTGGGCCTTAATGAATCGATGTGTTAACAAAGAAGAAAGTTCCTCCTCAGCTCGCTCCTCAGTACAGGAATATCTGGAAATGATGACTTCTGGTGATGTACCATCAGACAACCTTCCATGCAGAAACAGAAAGTTTAAACTGAACTTGATTAGAGCTGATGAATCCATTTCACGATTTTTTGTTTCATTGAGTGTTCCTGATTTTTTGCTTCGCTCCTCGTACTCCAAACTACAAAATAGTGTCTTACAAAACTTGTTCAATAGTATACTATTACACGAAACGACGATTAGACAGATATATTCACTTCCTTCAATTCCAAATTCAACGTATTGATTACTTTCATCGCAACTGAGCTTCAAATATATGTAAAACATTTTTCCAAACTTCGCAAACTTCATATATATCGCGAGGTCCAGATATTTTCATACAGCCAATATCTCAGTTATGCTGCATGAAAAAAAAATCAAATTACACTTTTGTTAAACCCGAATGACTTTGAAGCCAATGTGTCAAAGTCAACTTCTGTCAAACTACTCCAGAAAACCCACCTCCAACTTCATTTTTTCCAGTTACACCATTCAAGTAATTTTTTTGTTGATTAATACGAAGTGCATACTATTCTGACTTCAACGATGTATCGCACTTGATATTTCGACATTCGTTCGGTTGCCACATTTCGCAGGACGTCCTGAATTTGAGGTACATCGTCCTGCGTCCTGTCAAGATCACTTACAGGATGCCAAATGTCCCAAATATTGTGGCCTATTCACCACCAGTTTTATTCAGTGGAATTATTTTTTTTCGGAGACTCACTTCACATTCTAGACGATTTTTCTTTGAGGAAGCAGCACTCAACTTATGATCCTATAATTTTGTTAGGTTAGGTAAATATTAGCTTACAGTGAGTACATGGTAATAAAGTCCAGCTGCTACTCAGATAGTAGAGAGGGAGAGGAACAAACCATATATTGGAAGTGCAGCAGTATTTTCAAAAACCATCATTGATCTATCACCTCTCAAAGCCATTCTCATGTGCGATGTTTTACCCTCTCTCTACACACTATTGTATCATTCATGTAACGATAACACTTTAAGAAATGAATAGATCCGATGAACGCGCGCCAGCGTCGTATTATAAATCTTCATGAAGCGGTTGTTAGGTGAGGCCAACTAAGAAAAAATTTAAACATGGTGCTCTCGTACTCGTTGGCGGTATGGTTTTATAATGGTAACTTTGCCGACTTAAGGCTGGTTATCATTATTGTTGTTAACTTCGAAAAGTGATGTGCCTTGAAAGCATATATTGCTATGACGTTTGAGAAAAATGCCAGCATATTAACTTTGATATCCTGAGAGATTAAAAGTGCCACTTCAGTCTCTCAAATGAGGGATTAATAGGGCCGTCTTATTCTCTGAAGTGCATGATAGACTAACGTTTTTCATACCGTTAAAAACTCGCACTCCTTGGATAACTTTTCAACATTTCCGTTGAAATTTCATTTGTCCCGATTTTCAATTTACTTTGCCCTGAGAATCAGTAATTCAGAGTTGGCAACCCTATATACTTTTGAAGTAGTTTTTACGGACGAAATGAAAATCCGAATGTTTTTGAAGCAGCTTCCGCTGCATCAAACATGTTTTTCTCATGAAAGGGTATTGCTGATGGAAATACCGAGCATCGAAAAATGGTGGTACCAGACATTGTTATATCAGGCATACTCGGTTCCACCTTCCTAGAAAAAACACAGGTGTGAGTTTGGGTGGCGATGAATCCAACCAGGTTGTTGGTTCCCCAGGCTCCATTTCAGTAATATCGTCATTGACAGCGTTGACCTGCCTCCGTCGTAAGTTATTAGTTACCTGGAAAGAAATAGGAATTCTAGAAGCGAACGATGCATGGAGGGTACTCTCTTCTGCAAGGCTGTCGATAATACGAGTTGTTGCTCCCAACAGATCAATGAAGTAGGAGCAATATTGCTGGCAAAATTGATCCTTGTAGAACGCCGGAATTGATGGAAATGGAATCAGACGCTACTCCGTCCACCATAACATGCTTGAAAGAAAACTGGTAAACATTGCGATAGAATTTTGTTCCCAATCTGACATAGTGTTTGTTCTCTGGTGTTGTGTGCTCACTGCTCAAATCATAATATTCTAACTGATGTATCTTTATGTTCCATGATCTGCTTGACTTGATATTTAAGATTCTTCTGACGTCTGTCATGTCAATTCTTGTATACCCTTCCTTTTTACGCACATGTGATTCTTTCTCTTTATCGGGTCAATTTTGATGCCTCATCAAACTTTTTAGTTTGATTTTTGTGAGTGTTATCGGTAATTCAAGGGCACGTGTGCCATTGTAAAATATGAACCCGGCCCTTAAATGATGAATTCATAGCATAATAAATTTATCACATAATTCTATATCATTTTACAGTGACAGTAAGTTTTTTCAGATTCTCCACTTTGTCCCTTAATACTTCTAAATCATTTGTTTTCCAGATCATGAAGCATATTTTCCTGATTGCACTGTTATTAGCTATACTATTTTTATGTCTACTTTTTTCATTTCCATGCAATTCTTGCATCTATATCCTAAGTCAATACCGAATTTTCTAGAATTATGATACTTTCTATTGGCTGATGATGGGCTTATATGAGCCCGAAACATGCTCCTTTACGAGTGATCTTTGATCATTCTAATAAATGTTGTGGATATGGCTGGGTTTTCATCTATGAATGGTATAAATATGGTTGAATATGTTCAAAATCACATAACCTACCACCTCCTTCCAAACACCCTGTTTACCGTTCAAACAATGAGAACGAATGAGAACAAATACTTTGTTCCACCCTCTCCAGCTGTCAGGAAAAATGTTTTCCAGAATTATTGAGGAATCACATATTATAGAATTACCGAATCATAAAAATCCATGTCCCTGAAAATACGTGACATTTATTGCCTCATGTGTGGAATTAAAATCTGATGAACTTCACACGACCTCAATTAGCCAATTCCAAAGAGGATAAAAAAAAATCGAATCGTTCATGCATTGCGGCGGCGTTTAATCTGTATAGGGAAGTCGAGATAGCGGCAAAAAAAGCGGCAAAAAAGCACCCCATTATAAATTGATTTCGAATAAGTAGCCCTCTAATCTTTTTAATAAAAGATAAATGAAATATTTTGCTTTTTAATCAAGCTGGACAAAGCAGACAGTCAAGTGAAGTGAGCTAATTTTTGAGAGGTTGGAATGCCAATATATGGCTGGACCGTTGACACACTGGACAATTAATTTCGGATCGTCTAATTGAAAACATTT